ACCGAGCTGGTATAATTTTCGATGGCGTCAATACCATGAGTGGCAGGTGGCTGAATTTTACGGAGACTTGGCACGGTCGCCAACCCTCCTTTTTTCTCATCCGGGCTTGGGACCGGCAATGGCAGAGCTTATTAATTAATTCTTCTAAACAAGAAAGTCATAGTCCCGTTTTCTGGTGTTATCAGCCAGAAAACCGCCATGACTTTGCAAACGATTGCAACTCAGTGAGTGACGTCAAGGTATGGTTATGTTGCTAAACCGTGGTTCTAAATGAGTACTTGCAACTCTCATTGGCTGTTGTGATAACTGATCTCTGTCAGCCCGAAACAGAGCTTCTTAACAGACAGAAACATTGAATTTGACTGTCTCGACTAAGGACGTTTTCGTTTCTCACTCCTGTTCACTTTATCACCTGTGTTCCACTAAGTTATTAGTTTATATTTAGTGTAAATCCTGTTCTAATATCCTCCAGTGAAAACTGATGCATTTTAAAGCAAATGAAATATTCACAAATCAAAATATCTTTACTGTAGGTTCGGAAATGGCTGAACCAAATAAGTCGTTCAGGTTACCTTAAATAATAGAACATGTATTTACTTTAGTTATTGCAGCCCCATTTTTGTTACTCGTTCGGTTTCTCAGCATTATCGCTTTGCTATCGGTCAGTTTATTCAGATGTATTGCAAGTAATTATTTATTTAGATGGGCCAATTGGCCGTCCTGGACGTCCTGGTGTTGATGGACCTCCAGGCGATCCTGGAATAGATGCTCCTCCCGGAATTCCGGGTAAGGGTTATAGCCAGACATTTAGTATCAACTACATTGTCCGTTTTACAGGTGAACCTGGTGATCCTGGAAAACCTGGATGCATTGGTCCACGAGGTCCGCCAGGACCAGACGGGACAGAGGTTTCTAATGGACAGGCAGCAAGGCGAGGTTGTAAAGGACGTGCTGGTCAGAGAGGTCGGCCAGGGCAACGCGGTAAGCGTATAGTTATTTTTGAAAACTTTCATATACATTTAATGAAGACAAAAAATTGGCTCGAAATTCAATTTTTAATACTCATAAATAAACAGATGCTGAATATAAGATTTTGGCGAGGTTTTCAATTTAATACAGGCTTTATCCTTTTTTAAAATGATATTCGGTAAGGTGGGAAATCATTCTTCATATACACGGGGAGGCAGTAACTTTTCTTTTGGGGCTTCAGTAAAAATTTCTTTTTCTTTAACAGATTTGCCTCAATGCATGGGAGCGTCTGAGAGTCCGCCTCGAAATCGCATTTTCAGCTGGCACTAAGTCTTTCTGATAAACCTACATGTGCTCCCCTTTGCTGTGACGTGATATTCGGCCATGTGATTTGTTCGCAGCCAGACTTCACTGAGGTAGCGCGAGAACGGCTTTATGAATAATGTGCGTATCATGCAACAAGCCGTGAGGATAATAACATGGATGCGAAGAATAATGTACTACACAATGCGAGATACAATAGATGTGGAATTATATATGTGTAATATCATTATCAGCAGCAATGATTCTCCAAGAGAACAATCTCCACCTATGATTAAGAATGACTGAACAACGAAAAATTAATTATAAAAATTTTAAATAAAGGCAATGGAAAGTTTGTCAACGACGGTCTTCCTTCACTTTCGTGATTGGGCTATTCTGGCGCACTTCTTTTCATGAAGTTGGTGATACGATGCTGATCTACGCTTCCATTCCATCGGCCAGGAGTGTTTTATTTTAAAAGCAGAGTATGCAGCGATGTAGCAAGCGCAAAGCGTATTCTTTTCTTTCCTTCCCGCAGAGTGGTACTCATTTATCAATCTCGGAAGGAAGAAAGGCCAGTGACCCTCATCTGGGCTTTATCTTGACCTATCTGTTGTGAGTTCGACGTTCTACCAATTGATCGACCCCTCTGATGCAATGTGAGGTAAATTCCTTGCTCAAGAAAAGTCTTGAATAAGTCAAAGACCGCCATCGAGGTGAACTGAATCAAGTGCTCCTTAGTTCGAATCAGACATCTTAGACAATTGGTCAACATTCCAAAAGTACAGAAAGGTCTATTATTGAAGCATATATCTTAGGAGATTCATACAGATTGAGTCCCAATATTCTAAGTAAATAGTCTTCAAAGCGGAATGTTCTTTAATAGTTACAGGTAAAAAGATCAAACGAATAAATTTATCTTAAATCTGACTTGATAAAGGAGTCAGCTACCAGTGGCACGAAATAACCTTCCTTTAATGTACCCATAGACAAGTTTAGAAAAATTTTCGAGTCAGACTTTCGAAGGTTTTCTCAACTGCTGCAGCTGAACTGCGTATTTTCAGCACATTTCTTGATCCTGTTTTCATACATGCAAGAGTTGACATCTTATTATTTCTAAAATACATTTTTATTGGATATCGTCGACCATGTTGGTCTGTTGAACGTATGACTTCCAAAAGTATAGTATATTTCATTATTTCTAAAAAGGAAGAGATCCGCTGTTTTGTCACTAAACATCGGAGAAAAATTCGGCATATCAGTTCGGCATAATACGAAACCAAACAGACTGTATAATGATTTGCAGGTAAGGTCTGTATAGCAGTCCGTTTACTTACTGTAGTCTCTCCAGACTTGCATTGATATAATGCCGGTGTCAAAGGAAAAACGAATGGTTATAATCCTAATGATGATCTAATCAAATTACCTATTTACTACAATATTTCAAAAAGGTTATCAATTGAGCATTAGAAAACTCGGAAAAGTTGGTAACCGGTTGTAAAGCTGCGATTTATGTTTCGATGTCACCAGCAAAGCATGCTATTTTAAAAGCAGCTGGCACTGTTAATTGGCCATCACAGCATATCGCTTCATGCTTCCTTTCAACAACGCAGAACCAGTTTGCATACTGCAGAAGGCTGCAAAGTAAGTGGATGTGCGTGATTCAAGCAGCGATTTTTCGACTGCAAGTCAGCTGCTTCTGATCTACTACTTTAAACTTTTTGTTGCTTTGAAAAATAAGAAAAATGGGCGGAAAATCTGTAACCGCTTGAAATCGGTTCCGAACGCACTGGCCTGACTTATGATGCATATGTTTCATGCAGCTTGCGGTGCAGTGCTGATTTCTGTCTCGATGCCCTCAGCCAGGAATGCAGTATTTTCTGAAGGCTATATCAATAGCTTGATAGCCAGTACAGAATATACTTTTCTGCTTCCTTTTCACGTAGTATTACTCGCCGCGGTACGCTGAACTGTGATGCAGATAAGATTAATATCCGAGCAGAACGTACGAGCCACCATTTAGAAATAACTTTTGATTCGAATCTTGGAAGCAAATACCTATTTTCAAGAACGCAGCTTACTTAAGAAATGTTAACTTTCAAACGGAATAGACCGTACTACATAAAAGTAATTAGGTTATTGGGTAACGCCGTGAAACTGGATTGTTGAGCAAATACTGTTGGCATTCTATGACCACACGTCTTTAAGAAATTGTCCGTCGTACCAGTGCGTTCTGGTCATTACCGTTTCGTGCCATCGTTTTATGCAGCTTCACGTTCTCTCATTTGTGTAATTTAGAACTCTCTTTTAATAAATACATAACAGAACCAAACTATGTTGCAGAATGTTTTGATCCAGTCCCCTTGCGTAAATAATTATGCATTGATCCTCCTTAGTAATTAACGGGGATCACCACTTCAAAATTTCGATTTCCTCGGTTCTCGATTTGTCATCGTAAGCGTGCACATCTCTCTCTTAACCCATCGTCCGATCTGAATTGAGGTCTTCAAATTGGCCTCGGGGGATTCGTCTCTGCTTGAGTCCATCGGTTATCCAGCAGTCGTACGATGTTGTCCGCCGTAATCTGACTCTAGTTGCAGGCAGGAAACAAGAGGCATTTTGCTTGTGCTTTTCATTTCTATCGGTTTTTGCAAATTGTTTTGGCTAGTGTTTAAGTTTGCCAGGCATCTTAAACAGAACTTGACAATACTTACCCAAATTCTTTTGTCCTCCTTCGTTCTCAACCAGGTCTTCAAACTGGTCATGGCTTAGATTCTTTGCTGAATCTCTAGGAGATAAAGACAGTTGGCACGATAAATACTGTAAATATTTCACCTGTTTTGTCATATCCATCATTTGGGCAAATGGTTTTCTATGACAAAAGACTAGTCAGTTTCTATTTTTACTCAAGTTGAAAAAATATTTGAATTTAACACAGATGCGACTGATTCAGAAGCCACAGCGACAGTGACTTACGTAATCCTCCTTTCAGAAAGATAACGCTATGAATGAGACAGTTCAGGCAACGTAGCTATGCTATTCGACCAATTGGCTTACACACCGAGCGGTTATTTTCCTTGCACCTTTCCTATGATTCTTCGAAAATAATCGGTTTGTGAGTCCTCAACCTCCTCATTTTTGTGAGTCCTCAACCTCCGTTCAAAAGCTGTGTATGATGAAAACCTTTCTTCATGATTAATGCGAAATGGAGTCCTATATCTGTTTTAAACCTGGGTGTCTTATCTTTCAACTAACAACAAATAAAGCTATGAAAACTACAAAGAAGTTGGTTTCAAGCAAACGGAGTTGTGGGCGGGCAGCAGCTTAGAAAAAGCGTTTGTGATAGCAGCGCGACTATCAGTAAAATTCCACTTGGATTCTTATTGCAAAGAAGACCTCCAAACCATTTCAGCGTTTATAGTCAAACAGGAATCAAACTACCAATTGGTCGAATAACAAAGTGTCAAGGTGTCACGTGATATTACCGTGTGGCTTCCCATACAAATGTAGCGAAGTGATAGCGCTCGATCAGCTGTCACCAACCAAGTTCATGCCTCTCCATTAATCACACAACACATGGATTATGAAGCTGCTACAGTACATTATCTTTGGCCGTCTATTAGCCTCAAGTGTTACTGTTTCTCTCAACGACATTTTTTAGTCCACATGGCGAGGGATTCTCGAAATATTAACTGCACAAAGCGTTGAAGTCCTTCAACTCAAGTTACGCTCTTTCATGTTTCACCCGGTCTGTTCTTGTTATGGGTGCGAACAAGGTCGATTCTCCTATCTTCATTGTTTTCTGCTCTCTGCATTTGCCCCTGGCCAAATAGTTTGACGACAAACTGCGGCTGATCGTTCAATGAGTTCCGCGTGTCGATGAGGTTGCATCGAATTTCCTGGTCTTTTTAGTGAACTCTTCGGAGATTGATTGTTCAGCAGTTCATTCAGAGATGCCAGCTCTGCTGAACTGTTTGAGATTCTTGGCATATTTCATTCAACCCAACGGATTCAGAAAAGTGGAGCGATTCGTTGGGTTATGGTTACAGACATAAATCATTGACGAGTAGCGGACAGCATCACTGTCTCAGCCTACCGCACTACTACCCGAACGGGTAAGTGTTCCACTTCCAAACCCTAATTTCAGCAGCAGAACAGCATGCCAACTTCCTGCCAAGAATAATGTGCATACTGTGCGATAACAACTAGAAGAAACAACCGCTTTTCGGCGACATTACCTCACCTGTTGTATGCAAGCAGCACTAACAAAAATAATAATAATAAACTTAGAGTCAGACTCTGAGGAACTAGTTCCCTCTTGCGTCACAACTCATGCAGCAGTTCATTATTTGGACGATACGCACGTTTTCAAATCAACTGTTGTGTATTTCCAAACAGTAACGAATTCTCTAGCTGTTCATAACAACGCGCGCAGGATAAGCTAATCAACTTGATTGACTGATCGATTGGTCGATTAACTGATTGATGGACAGGTACGGTTTTAAAGTTTGTTTCTCTGCAATGTTATTTAAAGTGAGCTTTAGAGTTTATTCCTTAGGGCATACGATTAAATTCATATAGGATTTGGAGGAGAAATCGATTTGCTGTCTGCTTTGATAATAGTTAATGGTCCCCAATTTCGATCCATTGTTATTAAAACCATGCATGTTACCTTGAACCATAGATCAAAATCGGAGGACCATTAAATGTAATGAACATGTACATTTTTTAATTTGTCAAAATGTTAGACACTTGGGCGAAACCAGGTCAGTGTATAGGTGAAATTTCCTGCTGTAAAGTGCTCAAACAACTGCCACTATGGTTTCAAGAAAGCAATCTCTTAGTCCATGGCTCGGAGGGGGACATTAATATCTGCAGGCGTAATATT